GCAGTGAGGCAATGCCTCCTAGCATTGTGTTTTCTGTAGTGATACAATATGCATCCCAGCTGACTGCAGTCTGCTTGCCCTTCACAGAACTGCAGGAGCCTGGCAGCAGGGCAGTTCTCTCGCCCTGCCCTCGTGCTGTTGCCATGCAGTTCACTGCCGTATCCATGAGGAACCATAATACACCGTAGTGCTTCCTTTAAGAAATGGTGTGTGAAGTTGGGTTCTCTGGAAGAGAAGCTGGAGGGAGCTGGGGACACACCTGAGGCAGGGAGGCAGGTGTTGGTGGGACAGGAGGGGCGAGGCTGTCACCATACGGCCTCCAGAGGCCCTACGCCTCCAGGGGTTCCTCTGTGCGTGTGCTCCTTCTCCTTCCGTGGGGCTCCCGTGCGGGCCACTCTGTTGTGTGTGTTCTCTGCATGGGCTGCGCTGTGGCTCTGCTTTGGTTCCTGGGCTTCCTCGGTTGGCAGTTCCCGGGCAGCTGCGTCCTGCTGGTGGCCTGTCCCCGCCCTCAGCCTGCGTGGTGCTGCTGTGTGTCAGATGCCGCGGTCTCTTCTCAGGACTTTACCCGGGCTCCTTGTGAGCTTCTGCCCTTGCTGGGACCCCTGCTTCTGTGGAGCCCTGTGGCCGCCGGCACTGCTGCACTGGGGTGCATCCTGGGGTCTGTGCCCATCAACCTGTCTTTCTTTTCTCAGGGACAGACGCCTCTTATGCTCTTTCTGTGTCTGCTTTCTGTTCTACGCTTTATGTGAGAACCTGTGTGAAGGTCCTGGTGGCGCACACGCGTGTGGCCAGCACAAGGCCACTCTGGCAGCAGTGGGGTTTGCAGAGTGAGAGATGACTTCTTTCAGGGCCTGAGTTTTGCTCAGACCAGCAGGGAAGGAGGCCTGGTGTTGTCTGTCAAGTTCATTTTAATTCCATTTTTGTCCCATTATGGCCTTTACTTGAGGGCACAGTTCTTATTCTGAAGGCTTCCAGGGTTTCAGCTGATGCTTGGGATGCCTCGGGGGCCCCACTCAGTCCGAACGGGATGCAGTGTGTCCCTTCTCCACTCCTCTGGTCCTCAGGAACCTTGCTTTGTACGCATGGACAGCAGCCTCAGGCATGGCCCAGGGGCCCCCAGGCTCTGGGTTCAGATACTGTAGATTCCAGGTGTGTTCACAGCCCTGGAAGCTAGTCTCTGGGTCCACCTCAGTGAGATCTTGGTTCTTCTTGGGGACCACCTCACAGAGGAGGAGATGTGTCCCCAGGCAGAAAGCTGGCCAATATGGCCTGTGGCTCAGTCATCTGTGTCAGCTGCCCAGCACCTGCAGACAGCCCCTTCTACACTTGTCCAGGTGGCAGCTGTCTGCAGGCCTGGCAGGGCTAGCTGGGGGTACAGCCCAACTGATGTTTAATGAACAGACCCTCAGAGGGTACATATGTAATGGGCGGGTGATAGAGCGGGCTGCTCCAGGTATTCTGGGGCCCTGCTTGCAGGGCAGGTGTGTTCACAGCTCTCTCCTGTGCTTGTCCATTGATAAAACTTGTGACCTTCAAGTCAAGACTCCGTGAACTGGAACCAACGGGTGGAAGATCCCGCACACATGCAGGCACCCTGTCTTTGCAGGGGCTGCTCCCATGGAAATCTTTCTGAATGAAAAGCCCCAGGCCAATTCCTGGGGGCTCATTGCATTCGTGTCTTTGCAGGGGTTGCTACCACTGAACTTGAGTGGGCACCAGCCAGGCAAAGCCAGGCCTCCAAGCTCTGGCTCGGCATCTTGTCCCTACCTGTCACTGTAAATGGGTTTATCAGATCTGCCCCTGGAATGAGGTGGGTGGGGAAGGAGAGGGAGGTCTACAGGGGAGTCAGGAATGCAACGAGCCCCCAGGAATTGGCCTGGGGCTTGTCATTCAGATGGCAAAAGGAAAACCTCACTGTTTGTAGGGAAGAACTGTGGGTGTTAAAGGAGGGAGCTGGACTGATCGAGGGGTGAGGCCCTTTGAGGTCAGCTGTCACACTCAGGGTCACTGCTGGGTACCATGAAGAACGGTCCATCACATTTTCTCTCATCTGTACACAAGAATAACGGCTTTGTTTATGGATTTTCTGAGATGTCCTTCTAATTCTGTTGCCCATGAATCATGAACCACACAGACTAGTACATAGCAGATGGCCTTTGTTGAGCACAAATGTGCCCTTGGTGGACCATCTTTCAGAGGGAGGACTGTCTGGGTGCCCAGAGCTGTGGCCCTGGTGCCTCCTCCACCCCCGCAGCTGCTCTGGGCTACCCTGCAGCCTATGCCTGTCCACAGATTGCAATCTTATGAATGGCAACACCTGAGCCCATGCACTGCACCTGTTTCAGACCCAAGCCTGGGAGGGCAACAGCTAGCATTTGCTGTCCTGTTCATTTTCTTTTTAAGTGTCAGCCACCTCATTGCTTAAGTTCTCCTGGATTGGCATCTTTGGATGCTAAGCAGCCTCCTGGCCAAGGGGTGGGGATGAAGTGCTGCCCCAGCCTTACTGGGACAAAACTGACACACCAGGCTGTGTAGCTGCAAAAGGTGAGGGGCCAACCGCGTGCGGCAGTACAACTCCACGTGAAGGCTGTTTGGGCCCCCAGCACCTCGCGAGTGAGAACATTACGGGTCAGTTCATTTCCCAGCAACTTCCAAGTATGCAGGCAGGGTCTGTCCTGGAGTCACTGCACCGACCTGGGAGCAGGGTCTGACCCTCTGGCTAGCTGCCGCCCACCCTGCCCCTCCCTGGCAGCCACCATTCACTCTGTCTCTATCAGGTCACGTGTCAAAGATTCTCCATGAGAACACATGCTGCCTTCATTTGGATCATTTCCCTGGGCACATGTCATCGCAGGTGGCAGGCTTCCCCCCTTGCTCACGGCTGGGTGTCCATGGTGTGTATATATGCAGACATCACCCACCCACCTGTCCACGGACACTCAGGTGGTTTCCGTGGCTTGGCTGTCGTGGATGGCGCCTCGGTGAGCACAGGGTGCAGACACCTGTCCGAGACACTGGCCTTCCTCCCTCCTATAAGGGCCCTTGTGGCAATGCCAGGCCCACCCAGATAACTCAGAATAATCCTCCAAATGAAGATTCCTAACTTAGTCATGTCTGGGAAATTTCTTTGCTCTGTAGGTGATGTACAGATCCCAGGGGATTAGGGTGTGGCTGTCTGTGGGGGACACTGTCAGAGGGCCCAGAATGATGAGCATCTCACCAGACTGAATCACGAGGCAGATGATTATCCTTTCTGGTTTGGGACTCTGTCTGTAGCCCTCAGGCTCGTCCTAGACTGCGGTCGAATCCCCCTGCTCATGCCTGCCTGCACGCCAATGGTTGTGGGCTGTAGGGGCCTCTGGGCTACACCCCTGGGCCCCCCAAGGGTGTGCTCCTAGGTGTGGGGTGACCGTGGGCTGCCCTCCGCCTCCTCCCTTTCAGACAGTGGCCCTGGAGGGACTCTACCCTCTGTGCCTTCTCGCCTGGGTGTCTGCAGGGTTTGCAGGGCTGACTGTGACCCCTTCTGTGTCCAGCCCTCCCTACCTCATGTCTCCCTGTGGGCCCTGGGAGCATCCCAACAAGAGCTGTGTGCCTGCTCTGATGTGGCTCCCCAGCTGGCCCTGGCTTTCCACTGCTGGCTGGGCATTTGCCTTCCAGAACAAGGTGACCCACAGCTGCTCACCATGGGCTCAGGGAGTGCTGGTGGCAGGCCAGGGCAGAGGAGAGGAGTGAACGTAGGGGTGAGGTGTGGACAGTGAGGCCTGCGAGAGAGGCACCTGGGCTGATTGAGCAGCCACACAGCCATGTATGATGCCATGGGAGCCCCTCCCCTCTGCCAGCCTGAGCAGAGAAACCCAAGGACCCGCTCGGCCATCCGAGAGCTGGAATCTGTACTTAATCCTGGCAGCTGTGCGCCAGGGTCAGGGCCTCACAGTGGTGGGTGGCTGGCTGAAGCCAGGGACCCCCAGAGCCCCTGACGGGAGAAGTGCCCCTCCCCTCCCTGGGTGGAGCTCGGCTCTGCCTGCAGGGCAGCGACCCCTCGAGGCGGTTCACGGTCGTGTCCCCTGTGTAACCTGCCCCAGAACAAGATCAGGACTCTCTTTGGCCCGGCAGCGGTCCCTCACTCCTTGGGGGGCGACCCCAACCCAGAGGCGGCGCGGCACAGACACAAGCTCCTCCTGCAGAGTGGGTGACACCCACTCTGCTCTCTCAGGAAATGTCGCCTCGGCTTCTTTTCTCTGCTGCTCATCTTTTTATTCTGTTTCTCCGCCTCTGCCTCTTCCCCTGCACACAGTTCCTGAGACTCGCCCATGTGGCATGTACCAGCCGTTGTAACGTCTTATCTCTGAATGTGACTTCACTACTGCCCAAGGACGGTTTACCTGTCTGTTTCCTGTTCTGGGCAGCTAAGGGGCACAACGAGCTCACGACATTTGGCTGTTGCAGAAGCCAGGGAGCTTTCCAGGACTGATGGAATATGGCCAAAAAAACAAGAGGCCGATTTGAACAGGGTCCCTCTTGTCAAATAAAAAAGAATAGTGGTCACAGTTGACTGACTACATCGGATCTGTGTAAACCCATGAATCCATGAGGCTCGAAGAAGGGAGGTCTGTGAGTTACCAAAGGCAGGTATTAACCAAAGACCCCAAAAAATAGGTGGCCAAAGGGAAAATTAGGCATTGTCCTGCTTTCTGCTCAGAACTGAATGTCAGAATAATCAAATCGCTCCAGTTATGAAGAAAGGTGTGCTTTAAAAGAATGCTGGCTAATGTGGGAGAGGGCAGGATAGATACCGTCTTTGACAATCCTCTGAAATGACTGAATGGGACAAGGTGGAAGGTGGGTTACGACCTCTACCCAGTGACCTGGAGACCAGGCTGGTATCACGGGGAGACCGAGGCTGTGGCTCGCAGCCTCCTGGCAGAGGCCACCCAGTTGCTGGTCATCTGGTCCCAGCCCTGAATATCTACCTTGAGTCATGGGGGCTGTAGGGTGAATTTTCCCTGGAAATAAGGCAGGAGAGAGGGGAGAGGGAACACAAAGGACTCTGTGAAGAGGCAACCCCGTGGTGGGGGGTGGTCTCCTCGAGAGGTCAGGTCTGCGGTGTGACTGGGGCCAATGCACCATCTGCGCAGACAAGCCTGTGTTGAGGGACTTTTGGGCACCTGGAGATGTGAAAATGGCCTCTGTGAGTGGATATTAGGAAACCTCTGTGCCTTTGTGCGAAGTATGGTCATTTAATTGGGCCAGGCAGGGGTGTGCTGAAGAAAAAGAAGCCACATGCAGCCACACCAATGCCTGCCTCATCTGGTCTGTCCAGCTTGGCCCTGATTCCCTGCTGCACCTCCACTGGAGCTCAGATCTTCCTCAGACAGGAGCTGGGAGCCCTGGGCCTGGGAGCCACCACCAGGCTGCACACAGGGCCTTGCATGGTGGGAAAGCTGCATGGGCTTCTGGGGTGTCTGGGCCACTCTGCATCTCACCACTATGCTTCTCATCCCTCATCTGGGACCCCCAAATCATCTGGGACCTGGAGACCTTTCTGTAACTCACTTGGCAGCAAGACCTTGTATCTCATAGAGGAAACTTCCTTGGCTTTTCCTGAGAGAGCGTTAAAATGATGGACAGCAGGTATCTGGGAACTTGAGGGGAATGCCCTGTGGCAGCTCCCAGGATTGGAAGTGTTCTGAGGGATTGTGGTTCTTCCTGCAGATGAGAAAACTCGGGGAGCTGAGAGGCCCCTGTTCTCTGTCCCTGCCCTTTCCCTCCACCTGTCCTTCCTTCAGTTGCCCCAGATACCCCTCAACCCCAATTGGATTACTTACGAAAGAAAAGAAACTCACAGGCTGCAGGTTCTCCTTTCTGCCTCTGTTCCTCCTGTGTGAATAAAAGAGTAGGGGTTCTGTTCACACGCAGCCCCTGGAGCCACGATTTCAGAAGTACTCTCCTCATGGGACGAATTACAACAAATGGGTGTGAGGAGGGGCTTGGGCTCCATCCCCGAGGGGCTGGGGTCCCATTCACTCACTTTGCCTCCTCCCTGCTCACCAAAGGCTTTCCATCCTGCAGGCTGGCTCAGCTTTGCCTGAGAACAAGATTAATATAAAGAGAGTGTTGGTCAATTGCCTGGTGGTCACTAATGGGAAGGCAATTGATCACTGATAACAGATTGTGCAGCTGGGCTCCCAGCGGGCGCGGGGGAGCTGATGGGAGCATCTCCCACACAGAATCGGGGAGATGTGGGGACAGAACAATGGCTCTGTGCTCGTCCCTCCGTGTCAGGGTTTTCCAGCCCAGAACCGTTGCTGACAAGTCCTGGCAGTGGGGGAGGGGGGCCCAGCCAGCCGCCTGCCGGTGTCACCCCCTTGTCTCACCTCCGAGCTGGGCCTGCTCTGGGCCCCCGCCCTACGGCCAGGCCCGTTTCTCAGGCCTGAGCGCGACCTCTTGGAGCCCGTGCACCAGCTCCAGGGCTTCATCACGGGAAGTGGGGATTAGAGGAGGGGTGGGTCGCTGGGCAGGGAGGTTGGCCGCCGCACTGCCCACAGGCCACACCCCCGCAGCAAGAGGGCTCTGCCCAGAGGGGCGGCCTTACCCAGGAGGACTGTCGGTCGGGGCAGTGCCGCGTGCCGGAGCTGGAGCACAGCGCGTCATCCTTGCAGCGCCGAGACGGCTCTCAGGATGAAGGAGAGGAACAGGTTCAGGTGGGTGTGGTTGCGGGTGCAGTGCAGCCTCCTGGTGGGGAGGTGGGCTGTCACCCATTGACGCGGGGGCACTTAGACCCTAAGGCTTCCTTCTTTTTTAATGGAAGCTAATAATTATGTGACTACTCCCTAGGGTGTATCGAGGATGTTTTCTGTTTTGTATTATGATAAATGTTTGTACATGAATCTTTACCCTGATTTATGACGAGCTCCTCTGGTCAGAGTCCTCGAACAGGACCTGAGAGTTAAAGTATGGACAGCAGGGCCGGGCCCAGGCCTGCGTGGCACGTGCGCCCGCTTCACTGTTTCCAGCAAGGCTCACGTCAAATGCCCTGTTACTGGACTTAAGTGTCTGTGGTATCTTGCATATCTAAAAATGCTCAGAACGTTTTGTTTATAGTGCTGTTATAACACTTAACCTCTGCTTCGGAGAAGACATTGAATATTCAATTTGACTTTTAATTGAAAAGTCATTAGGAAAACCAGCTGTCGTACACAAATGCATTTACAGGGTAATTAAACATCAGCTCTCTAGGTTTAAGTGAAGTTTAAACATTTGGAAGAACATTAGAAATTACACCCTAAAGTGGGCTTTCTCTGTGGGTCTGAAGGAGCAGCTTACTGACCGCCTTCCACTCAAAGTGGGCAGGGATTTGGACAGTAGCCAAGCGGCGGAGACCGGAAGGACTGGGACCCAGGGAAGGGAAATGCGTCCACGCCTGCCCCCTCGCTGTCTCCAGGCTGTCTGTCTCAGGGCTTAGGGACCATCTAGGGAGCAAAAGCCCCGAGCTTGTCACAGTGTCACTGCAAGGGATGACAGCAGAGTAAGGGGCTTTCAGGGTAACCGGTGAGGGGCTGCAGGTGTGGAAAAAAGGAAAACAGAGTCCAGGGCTCAGCAGGTGATTACCTAAGGCCTCACACTCATTTGGGTCCCAAGTTCACGTGCTGGGTGAAATGAAGTGAAACCCAGGGGCTAAGAAAGTGACATGCTTGGAAGAAATTTTAGCAACTTCATGTACAGAATTCAGGGTCTGTTGGGATAGAGGGACTCCCAGGCTTTCACTGGAAACCCTAAAGAGCTGTGACCCAGAAACAGTGATGAACCAGAAAGAAGCCCGTCTTCATAAAGCCTGAAATACAGCCTCAGATCAACTCGATCCTGACTGGTGCTCTGCCAATCTTGCTAGAAAACCCCTCTGCAGTGGGATATCTAAAGCCTCTGTAATTGAACTATTTGTAATTTCAATAGAAATAACTAGGCATGCCAGAAACAGAACCAAATGATCAACTGTCAAGTTAAAAAGAAAAAAAAAATAAGAGACAATTTTAGAAAGACATCCAGAATCTGGCATTTTAATACAGAGTATATTAAATATATACTGATTAATGTACTCAGGTTAATTGATGAAGAGATGGAGGCTTTATTAGCAAATGGAACTGATTACAAAAATCAAATGGAAATTTTAAAACTAAAAAAAAAAAGCCTGAAATTAAGAATTTAAAAGCAGGGTCTAACATTAGATTAGTAAATGAGAGTATTATGAATTGCAAATAGTCCAGAAGAATATGTCTAGATTAGAGAGAAACAAAATAATGGAAAATGGAGAGAATCAGTAGAAAATATATAGCAGGTGGTGAAAAAATCGATCATATGTGAAAATAGAGTTTCAGAAGGAGAGAAGAGAATAAAGTACAAGAAGTATTTTAATAACTATTTGACAAGAATTTTTGGAAACTGTTAAAATATAGTAATAGATTAAAGAAGCCCCATCAATCCCCAGAGGAGAAACGCAAGAAAGCCACAGTGAGTCCCACGATTGAGCAGCTGTGAGAGCCGCAGACAGAGAAAACACGCCTCGAGGCACCTGAGAAAAGAGACACGTTCCTGCAATGGAACAACGGTGAGACTGGCAGCTGAGTTTTCAAAAGAAATAATGATGTACATCTTTAATGTGATGGAAGAAAATAACTGTCAATAAAGAGTTCAATACTCTCAAAACTACCCTATAAATGAAGGCAAAATTAAGATGATTTCAGATAATCAAGGACAATGAGAAGTCATTACCAGTGGGATGGTGCTGAAAGAAACACTACAGGGCGGTCCTCAGGCAGCAGGAGGGTGAACCGGGATGGAAATGTGGAGACCCGGGGGGCCAAGGAGCACCGAGAAAGACAGGTACGTGGGTGCCCTAAATAAATACTGACTTTAAAACGACAGCTGTGTCTTGCAGTATTTAAAATACATATAGAATTAAAACATGTAACAATAGCACCTAAGGCATGGAGTAAATGAAGTTGTATGTAAAGTCCTTAAATCACTGGAAAGTGGTGAAATGGTAACTGGAGGCTACCTCCTTTGAGGCAGAGGTGCATGTTGTAAATTTGGGGTGACAACTAGAAGAATAATAATAGAAGGTATGACTAATGCTCTAAAAAGGGAAAACTTGCATAATAGAAATATTTGATAAATGAAAAAGAAACAGAATGAGTGCAAAAGCAGCAAAGAGCAGTTTAGGCAGCAGAGAGCAAAGAGATGCAGGCGGGTCGGAACTCTAGGTTGTTAGTAAGTAGTCTAAATATGGGTGTAAAGATACTGCATGTAAAAATAAAAATAGGGTGGTAATAAAAAGTGAATCCTATGGAGCTTAGAAGACACCCAAATTAAATAAAAAACAGGAAAGTTCAAAATAAAAGCATAGAAAACAGTATGCCTTGCAAATATCAAGTAAAAGAAAGCTAACATAATGATATTAATATCAGGTAGAGTAGATTTTAAGGCAAGGGGCACTACTAAGTACGGATGATTTAATAGGATGATAAAATATTAAATTAGTATGCCCCTAATAACATGACCTTAAAATATACAAAGTGAATAGTGTAGGTTAAATAAAAAGAGAGAAACAAGTCCACAATAATAGCTGGAGATTTTAAAACAGCAACTGATAGAACAAGCAGTTAAAATAATCAGTAATGGTTTTGGAATATTTAAATAATGTGATTACAAACTTGATGTAAGTGACATTTGTAGCATACAAACCACTAACTGCAGAATTCACATTTTTTTCAGGTGAAAAGGAAACTTTTATCAAAATATACCACATTCTGGGTCATATGCAAGCCTCAACAAATTTCAGAGGATCAAATTCATGCAGTATATTGATCACCATGAATTAAGCTAGAAATCCTTAATAAAAAGCTGAAAAAAATTAATAACTGATTGGAAATTAAGCTGTAGATTTCTATAGCCTATGAACTTAAAAATAACCACAAGAAAAGTTTAGAAAAATCTGAACTAAATGATAATGGGAAACACACACATCTTAAAACTTGGAAGGCAGAACTACAGCAGGACTGAGGGGGGGTTGCAGACACAGATGATGTACTGTCGACAAACAGCACTGTCGGTGTGTGAGCATCTGTCTCCAGAAGCTAGAAGAAGAGCCCTACGGTAAAACCAGAGAAAGCAGAATTAAAGAAATAATAAGAATAGGAGGCTGAGTTAGTAAATCAACAGACACACAAGAAAGGAATGAACAAAGTCAAAATGCTGTGCCTGGAAAACACTGATAAAATCGATAGGAGCCTAAAATCAAGACAAAAACAAGGAAAACACAAATTACCAACACTAGGAAGGAAAAAGGAGATATCAGTATAGCTCTTACATACATTAAATGTATAATAAAAGAATATAGAAAATGTAGATTCAAAGGACAGATTCCCTGAAAAAAACAACTTATAATTAACTTAAGAAATAGAGGATCTGAGTCATCATGTGTCTGTTTTAAAAAACTTGAATGTAGATATTAAACCTTCTCCCTGAGAATTCTCAGCCCAGATGGCTTCCTTGGTAAATTCTACAAACTTTAAGGAAGAAATACCGCCTTATCTGACCCAAACTATTCCACAGACTAGAAGACAGGGAACACTTTCTCATTCACTAATGGGTGAGTGTAACTGTCATATGAGAGCCTAATTTTACAAGAAAGAATATCATAGATCATCAAATTCACAAATGTAGGTACAAATTCCTCAACAAAATATTAGCAAATTAAACCCACTGTATCATAAAAGGATAATACAACACAACTAAATAAGGCGGATTTAAGGAATGAAAAGTAGACTCAATATTAGAAAGTGTATCTGTGCAATTTTTCACACTAAATGAACAGATGATAAACACCATCTACTCATCTCAATATACGCAGAAAAATCATAAAACTCAACACCTATTCATGATTAAAAACTGAGATACCTGGGAATTGGAACCAAAACTAAACGGGCCTTGACCCCTGCCTCATTACCACACACAATAAATTATAGGTGTATCATAAACCTCCACATAAAAAGTTAAACAATAAAATATCTAGATGGTAACAAAGGGGAATATGGCAAAAATTTCTTAAATAGGCCTCAGGAGGCACTGACCAAAAACACAGATGACAAATGGACTTCATTAAAATTAAGAACTTTTATTGATCAATGGCTCACCAAGAGAGTGTAAAGTCTAGAGATAAAGTCTAGATAACCACAGAGGTAGAGATAAAATCTGTAATACTACATATCTAACAAAAAACTCCCCTCTATGACTCTTAAAAATCAATTTGAAGGGAGATAGAAAAGAAAAATGAACAAATACATGAAACAACACCTCAAAGAAAATCCAGATGATCTCATCAGCCATCAGGAAATGCAAATTAAGAACATCATTCTGTATTATTATAAACCCAACTGCATGTCTAAATTTTAAAAAGATAGGTGGTGACAAGGATACAGAGCAATTGTCAGTCCCCTGCACGGCTGGCAGGCTCCTGCAGGGGCAAACACTCTGGACAATGGTGGCAGCTCTGAGAAAGACTATGCATAGCCTATGGCTGGTAAGTGTAAAGTAAATGTCCGTACAAATGTAAATGTGCACACAGACACATGTCTCAGGAAGCAAGTACTTATGTGCAGGAGGCACACAAGGGTCTTCACAGCAGCCCTTTGTGGTCCCAAATCGAGAGTCACCATCCA